AGTTTCTTGTCCTTCTTTTTTTCTTTTTTGGCCTGCTGCTATATAAGAGTTCCTATGATAGCAGAAATGTTTCTGAAAAAGCAGGAACTCAAAAATTTATCAGTAAGTTAACAAGTGAATAAGTTATTTCATGTCGCATCCAGTCAAGACTTTTCATCTTATTCAGTAAAATTTTTAAAAAATGTTTTGAAACAAATTAAATAGTAAATAAACTCTTGGTACAGTAATCTTGCATTACACAGTAAAAGGCTCCAGAGATACAGAAATTATTAAAACACTGTCATACTCTTAAGCATCTCACAGTAAAATAGACTTTCATAGTAACTGAAAATATTTATATATAAAATTGTCAACTGAATTGTAGGGATATTTTGGTTTATTTTACTAGATAACTAATAACTGGTTAAACAATAGAACAATTATGACAAAAGGTCATTTTAAGTAAGTGATAAAATAAAATTATTTCCACTGTATGAATGAAGATATTCAGTTCTAAACAACATAATCTCAATTCAAACACTGAACTGGTGGAGGATTTATTAGCTCAAGGTCAAACTGTTTAGGGAAGACCTTGCTCATTGCTTCTATCTCTTTTTATTCCTCTCAGCCCTACATTTATTTGTATTTTGGCTTTGTTCCCTTTTTAGATTTCTTCATGGTTACAATATGGCCTCTAGTAGCATAGCTACTTACTTCAAGACAGTTTTTTTGTTTGTTTGTTTCTTTTCTTTTTTATATATCATTGTAGAGTTTGATTGTTTTACTTTTTCTTAAAACCTCTGGCAGGAAATCCAGTATTACTCAAGTTGCAAAATTTAGCCGCATATTTTCTTAAGGTATCTAAGAGTAAAAAAAAAATAAAGCACCAAAAAAACTTAAAACAACTTCCTGTGACTAAATAAACAAAAAATACGAGGGTGGGGAAATTCTCTCCTCTTTCCATTTAGTAGACAGAAAACAAGTGATGGTAGACAAGAGTGAGAAGAATTCTTTAGTTTCTATTGCCCCATCTCTGTGCCAGCTGTGGTGCAGGAAATGCACAGATTTCTGTACCCCAGGATCCACCGCGAATGACCTTCCTGTGCAGGAGAGCTGACTCTTGAGTTTGGGCCATCCTTGTGGTCATATGATTGTATAGCTCGTAGGTCCCTGTGCATTTGCAAGTCATAGAATTCAGACCATGGTCTTCTTATGTCACCATATTTTAATTATATTTAGACTCAGAGTTGCCTTCTAGAAGATAGATCAAGGATTATGCTCCTCAGGAGCTTATAGACAGGTACAGATTCATCGCATTTTCATCTCTGAAAATATCTCTTCTCTTTTCACACTCTCTTAATACACCGATCCTTCCTTCCCCCTTCAGCATAATCCCCTCTAATGCCTTATAGCTTTTAATTTATTAAATTTATCTCCCATACGTTGCTTTGGCTACTAAGTGGTCTTCTATAGATTCTTTCTCTCCATCCTTCTCTATCCTGCACTGTTTCTCAGGATGCTGAGCAGTGGCCTCCACCTGGTGTCTGCTAATGTGGTGCACCAAGCAGAGGTCAGAATAGGTATGTACCATATTTAGTTCCTCTAGTGCCAGGTTGTAGGTTGGCAGTAACTGTGTTTATCTACATTAAGTTAATGGTTAATGTCAGACCGTTCCATACTACAGATACAGTTCTTATTTCTATTAACTACATGCTTGGCCTGCCCTTTCAGCATACAGAAGGGAAACAGCCCCCTCCCGCTCTGTTTCTAAACCCAGGATGATTCATCACACACTTTTGGTTCTTTTGGTTTCCCTAACCTCTCCCACCCTTTAGTATTTTCATTCAACTCCTTCAAATTTCTCTGAGTAAACCATTCTTTTCCTGGCAGAAGCTTAGCTGATTCCCTTTGGGTATTAAGATAAATTCTTCAAGCATTAAAAATAATCTGCAATTACTTTATCTCACAAATTTTATTTAATTTTAAACCATTAGCCAAAGTATTGTCACTCTCAACAAAACATCACTTGGTAATTTTAGAAAATCACCAACACTGGGCTCCACCTGTCTGATTTCCTCCAAGGCCTCAATGGTCTATTTTCCCTTCCCACCAGATTCCACCTGGGCTGCACCTGCTCCCAGCAATGCCACACCCAACACTTCGCCAGTTATTTACTGCTCTTAAAAATAGCATTTGTTTGGCAAATGTCCGTAGACACCTCAAGTTTTCAGTTCTCTAATTGTTAAAGGAAATGCTAATTTGTAGGCACATGTAAAAATTAACTCCATTCTAACACAGTTTTGCTGTGGTTATTAGGTATCAAATAAGTTCTCATAAACATTGTTTACTGATTTTCTCAAAGGGACAATTTTGCTTCAGTTACTCTCTCATCGAATAAGGGGAGTTTAGATCAAGTCTACATGTTAAGAAAAACTGATAATGTCATCACCTTCCTACTCTCCTCTCTTTATTTTACTCTATCCCCAACCCCACATTTTTTTCCTCCCAAATTCAGAATAGAAAATGCTTGGGTTGAGGTGTGTGGGTGTGGTAGGGGAATCAGAATAGAAGGATTTTCTGCATCGATATTATTTGAACTTAACTTGTCTTAATCCAGAATCCTCAAAGTATGGTTTCAGATCAGCAGCATCAGCATCACTTGCAAATTAGTTAGAAATGCATGTTTCCAGTCCCCATCACAGATTTACTGAATTAGAAATTACAGGGCAGGAAGTAACTATCTGTGTTTTAAGTTAGACCTGCAGGAAATTATAAAAATTTAACTTAAAGGCATTTAAGTCAATGGGCTATTATTTTTCTTATTATTTTCAGGGATTCTCTTAATCAATTTTGAGAAAAGAAAAATAGACTTTAAGACTAATTTTTTCATTGTTTCAACTTCATGCTTTATTAATTTATATTGACTATATATCTTTACTTTATCTGAGTCAGAAGTAGTAATTTTTTGACTGTCGGTGGTTAGTTTAGGGACTGGGAGTCTGAGGTCTAGAAATTTCTGCTTTTTCATTTAAAACTTTTTCCATCTTCTTATTTGTTCATGAGGCTCAATTTTATACTCAACATTCCAATTAGGCTATGTGCTATGTCTGCCCTTTTGAAGCAGTTGTTTAACTTTCCCTATAATTTACCCTCTATTATTCAGGGATCTAATTTACCCAACAGAGGGGACAATGTTTTCAATGAGGTAGATATGAAATGAGCAAAACATGTGTGAGACTCTTAAAGAACATGGACAATCTCAACAATGAGAACATGTACAGTGGCTCATATCAATTTCACAAGTAAATTTACATCCAAGTTGCTACAACTAACATACCTATTGGACATATTTCATTCATCTTTAGGGAACCTACCTTGAATTTCTACAACATTTGCCATATCTAAAACATGCTTAACAAAGATTTCTAGATTAAAATCCATCACTTTAAAATGGAATCAATTAATTAATAACAGAGCAATCAACTGAGGGATGGCAACAATGCCTTGGTTATCTAGTTTTCCCCTTGATGATGACATTTCAAAGAAAAGCCTTCTAGATGACAGAATATTGCTATTAATAAGAACCAGTAAAAGCATCATACTTAATCAAAACAAAATAAGTAATACATATGAATATATTTTCACCCATATTAATATAGTTCTATACCTATTTTTAAAGGTTGACCTTTTTTTAAAGTACATTCATTAAAACACTAGCACTATAAGGCTTAGAACAGAAGTTATAAATTAAGTCAGTATTTTTAAAAGGATAATAGTTGAATTTATTTGTAAGTTAATAGATTGCATATACAAATTTGACTAGATGAGTTAGATAATACAATATCTTCATATAATGATGAAGTTCCATTCTCTTTTGAAAATCACATTTTAAAATCTTAAAAAATATATATTTTTATTTATATTTAGAGAGAAAGGAAGGGAAAGAGAGAAATATCAATATATGGTTACTTCTTGTGTGCCACCAAGTGGGGACTTGGCCTGCAACCCAGGCGTGTGCCCTAACTGGGAATTGAACCAGTGACATTTTGGTTCACAACCCACGCTCAATCCACTGAGCTATATCAGCCAGGGTTGAAATCTTAATATGCTTTTTAAACCTTATATTTATATTTCTTAAAACTGATGAAAATACTATCCATTGTGCATCTATGATGTATACGCATGTTCTAAGTTTCTTTTCAATGTGTTTTAAGTCTTTCCTGTACAACAGCTTTTAACCATATTTTAAAATTTAAGCCTGTTTATTGCCTTTCAGGAATGCCCAACTGAACTTACTTTAAGCAGACAGCTAAAAGTCAAGCAAGTATGAAGAGTACAAATTACAATTCCTAATGGTGTGAGGAAGTACCTACAAAGTTATTTATGATGGATTAAAATTATAGGCCCAGATAACCAGGTCACTTCTGTCATTTATAAATTGATAATTTTTAAAGAAAATTCTTATTTAGGTAAAGCACAGTTTCTTAAAAAGTTTGCCTGAAGACCCTAAACGACATTCTTAGCTGAGGTCTGTAAATTGAAGGAAGAGATGGTCACTCTATACTTTCACAATATAATATTAACATGGTATGTCTACAATGGAAATAGTATTGTGGGGACTTACCTTTATCCCTTTTTCTACACCTTCAAATATTATTCAGTTATAAAAATCACCATTATAAAACAAAATATATGTTATTTATAACTCATGTCCAAGTTATGTATGAGAATTCCTTAAATATTTATTCAAAAGCAATACCACAATTAAACAACTCATGAAAACATTTAAAACTTTTTACTTGAACTTGAAGTGATTTTTAAAATCTGTGAATCAATTTTGTTATTGTTGTGCAAGTACAATTGTCTCCACTTCCCTCCACTACTCTCCCCCACCCCACCTACCCCCACCTGCCACCCTCAATCCTAGAATACTATATGTCATTAAATAAAATTTAAGTTTCAAACAGAACATGTCTTTAAAAGCCATGGATTTAATCAAATAGGAAATAAATCACCTATACCTGCAATGATAATCTTTCTTATAGTTCACATATGTGTCATTATTATTGCAAAGAAATGGATCCCATGGTGTTTGAAGTCCCTTACAAAGCTTGTCTGCAGATTTTGGTGAACAGATGCATATAGTATCCTAGGAAAGATTAAAATTTATTTTTATTAAAAATTTTAAGATCTCGAAAATAATGAAATAATTCTAACATGGAAATTCTTTTTATAAGCATGTAGTTTAAGTTTTCTCTGTGACATTGTGGGATATTTTGTTTTCCAAAACATCACAGCAATGTCTCTCATTTCAAACACCTTTCCTAGCTGTGTGAATTCCACACTCCTCTAAAGGAGACCTGGGGACTGTCCGTCACCCACTTGAATGTAAGAAATCGCTGACAGAAAAGAAAATGATGCTCTGTTGTCTTTCAGAGCTATGTTTAAAAGGCCACATAGTGTCAGTCTAATTATCTCGAAAGTCAGTCTCCAGGACATACAGGAGAGTTGGACTTGGGGTTCTGACTGACAGCCCAGCTGGGGTCGTAGACCACAGCCAGCACACCTGGCACGTATGTGAATGCAGAAGCCTTTAGGCTTCAGGTTGTGAATTCAAATGTAAATATTATCAAAATAGACAGCTAGTAATTGTGGGGACTACTGAGTATTTATCTAATGTTATTTATTTAAATGTTACATTTAAAAGTTGAAATATAAGAATATGCAATATTCAGATAACTAAAAGAATTAAAAAGTGATTCATAAAAAATGTCTGCAAAATTACATTGTTTACAACAGAGAATGATGGTGCAAGAGCAAGAAGAAAACTGAATGATGCACTTGAAAGTGTGGTTTCTATTTAAAACGGGAAAACTTAGGCAAGTAGATTTCTTGATTTTCCTGACTGAAATTATAATAAGTTAATGAAAACTATAATTATTTGTACTTTGAAATAGTACGATAATTGAAAATGTTTTCAAACCATTTTCTTGTATGTAATATTCAAACTTACATTTGAAATGTCAATGTGGTCAGCACCGATCTGACATGGTATCCATAAACACTTACTGACACCAGTTTCACAGTTTTGATTGGGAAGTCCCTCTGGGCACACACAAGTGTAAGCAGAGCTTTCATTTTGGCAAATTCCTCTTTTCCAACCTGATGGAGAAAAACAACATTCCACTGAGTCTTCACAGAATGGACCTTAAAAAGATCACACAGACAAAAAGAAAATATAAATGTATATATGTAGTAAATCTTACTGAAAAGTATATAGAAATTATGGAATGTTTTAAACCAGATTTTTCATAGTATAATTTATATATCATAGGATTAATCCATTACTAGTCAGTTTTTAGCACATGGTCATGACCCTCTTTTTGGTCGGTCACTCATTGTCTCCAACTCCAGTGCCAGTACATTTGCTTTGTCTGGGCATTTCATGTAAACAAAATGGTACAATGTGTTGTCTTTTGTGATTGGCTTCTTTTGCTGAGCATAAAAGTTTTGAGGGTTTTTGATGTTGTATCATGTATCAGAATTTTGTTACTTTTATTGCCAAAGAGTAGCTCACAAAACACATTGCTTATTCCTTCATCAGTTAATGAACATTTAGGTTATTTCCACTTTGTGCCTTTTTGTTGAGATATAATTAACATTTAACATTATATTAGTTTCAGGTTGTACAACATAAAATGTAAATATTGAGAAATGATCACAAGTCTAGTTAACATTCATTACTATGCATAGTAACATTTTTTTCCTTGGGATGAGAACTTTGAGATTTATTTGCTCAGCAACTAAGTTTTATAAATAATGAATTCAAACACAAATATTTGTGTGGATACATATTTTTATATCTCTTGGACAGAGTCTTAAGGGTAGAATTGCTGAGGTGTATGGTAAATTATGTTTACATTTTTAAGAAATTACCAAACTGTTTTTGCAATGTGGCTGTGCCATTTCACATTTGAACCAGAAATGAAGGAGATACCCTGTTCCCCATTTTTACTAACATTTGATATTGTCTATCTTGTTTTGTATAGCCATTCTAGTGGGTGTAAAATTGTATATCCTTATGCTTTCAGTTTTCATTTCCATAAGACTAACACTTTTGAGCATCCTCTCATATGTTCAATACCCATTTGTACATAATCTTCCAAAATTGCTATTTATATATGTAGTAGAGCATTTTAAAATTGTTGTTATTTTCTCATTATTGAGTAGTATTCTTTTTATTCTAAATATAATTTCTTTTTTTAAATTACAATATATGTGACTTGCAAATATTTTCTCCTCATCTTGCTTTGCTTTTTCTATTCACTTTCTTAGTAGGTAAATTTTAGGTAAAAAAGTTTTATTTAAGTCCAAATGATCAATGTTTTTATTTTATTAAATTCAATTGATAACTTTCTTTTTGCATATCCTGCTATATCATGCTTTTTATGTAACATCAAAGAAAGTTTTGACTAACCATTGGTCATAAAGAATTTCTTTTGTTTTATTAGAAATTTTATTATTTTAGCTCTCACATTTAGATCTCTCACATGTTTGAGTTAATTTTTGTGATTAGAGAAAGTGAAGAGGCTGCAGAGGGGGCTGCCCCCCTTCTCCTCCTTTCCTGTGGATCCTGTGTGGGGGAGCAGACCCATGAAGCAGGCATCGTCTCCTTGGCAGGACTCTTACTAAAATCTGGAGAGTCTTCCTTCTTTTGTGGACAGTGGCAACTCCTAAGGAAAAAGTGATTGCACCAATTGCAGAAGAGGCAGCAATCCCAAACCGTAAGATCAATGCCGTGGGTGTCGGACAAGTTGTTGTGGCATATGCCATCAGCGTTCTAGGAAAGTCTCTGGCTGATGAGCTTGCTTTTATGGATGTTTTGGAAGATAAACTCAAAGGAGAAAAAATGGGCGTGCAGCATGGGAGCTTATGTCTTCTGACACCGAAAATCGAGGCAGACGATGTTCACTCTGTGACTGCCGATTCTGAGATTGGGGTGGTGACCACAGGAGTTCCCCATCAAAAAGGAGAGAGTCATCTCAGTCTAGTGCAGAAGAGTGTCAATGTCTTCAAAATCATTATTCTCAGATCTTCAAGTACAGCCCCGACTGCAACATAACTGTGGACATTCTCACATATGGTACCTGGGAACTAAGTGGATTACCTAAACATTTTGTAACTGAAAGTGGGTGTAATCTGGATTCGGCTAGATTTTGCTACTTTATGGCTGAAAACTTGGCATTCATCCCAGCAGCTGCCATGGGAGGATATGGGGCGAACATGGGAACTCAAGTGCGGCTGCGTTGAGTGGAGTGAATGTGGCAGGCATTTCTGTTTAGGAACTGAATCCAGAAATGGGAATGGACAATAACAGTGAACATTGGAAGGAAGGGTATAAGACAGTGGTTGGAAGGGTCTATGAAATTATCAAGCTAAGAGGTACATCAGTTGAGCTTATCTCATTAAGTCTGGCTGATTTCATTGCATTAATATTGAAAAATTTATCCAAGATTCATCCAGTGTCAACGATGGTGAAGGGGGTGTATGGCAGTGAGAATGAAATCTTCCTGAGCCTTCCATGTATCCTGAATGCTTGGGGATTAACCGGGGTCATCAGTCAGAAACTGAAGGACGATGAGATTGCTCAACTCAAGAAAAGCAAAGATATCCTTTGGAACATCCAGAGGACCTCAAAGCCCTGTGACTTCAGGCTTCTAAGCTGTAGAAATGTAAAAAGTACAACGTGAATGACCATGAGCCTTTAGTTTCCATCCATGTGTGTGGATCAGAGTTTGCTTTTATCTTCCTATATATGAAATTTGGGCTCATAGAATCAAAGCCCATGTTTAGCTTAATGCTTGAAATATGAATCCTTGAACAAATAAAATGAACTATTACACTGTAAAAAATTTTATGGTGTGAGATAAGGATATGATATTTCATATACAATGTGTCTGTGTATTTGTATATGCACAGACACACACATATATATGCATATATTTCTTAGATGTTTATATAAAAGTGTCCCAATACAATATTTTGAAAGAAACTTTTTATCCATTTTATTTATTTAATTGTATTTTTTCATCACCATTTATTCCCCTTTATAAACCCTCCACCCCACAATCACCACAGTCTTTGTCCATGTCCATAACTCCTTTTTCCTTTTTGCTCAATTCCTCCACCCCCAACCTCCCACAGTTTTCATCCTGCTCTCTATGAGTCTGTCTCTAATTTGCTTGTTAGTTTAGTTTGTTCATTAGATTCCACATACAATGTTCATAATGTGGTATTTGTCTTTCTCTGAGTGGCTTATTTCACTTATGTGAAAGGTCCATGCATGTTATTGCAAAGGGTAAAATCTTCTTCTTTTTTACAGACAAGTAATATTCCATTAGGTATATGTACCACAATGGTTTTATCCATTCATCTACTGATGGACGCTTGAGCTACTTCCAAATCTTGGCTATTATAAATAATGAAGCAATGAACACATGGGTGCTTATCTCCTCTCAAATTAGTGTGTTGGGTTTCTTTGGATACATTCCCAGAAGTGGGATCGCTGGGTCAAAAGGCAGATCCATTTTTATTTTTTTGAAGTGTCTCTATATTGCTTTCCATAGTGTCTGCACCAATCTATATTCCCATGAAAAATGCAAAAGTGCTACCCTTTCTCCACATCCTCAATAGCACTCATTTATTGGTTTATCACTGATAGCCATTTTGACCAGTGTGGGGGTGTATTACGCTGTGGTTTTAATTTGTATTTCTGATGATTAGTGATGTTGAGCATCTTTTCATATATCATGATCTGCATGTCCTCTTTGGAGCAGTTATCTATTTAGGTCTTTTGTCCAATTTTTAGTTTGATTGTTTAGTTTTTGGTTTTGAGTTTTATAAGTTCTTTATAAATTTTGGACATATATCCTTCATCAAATGCGTTGGTGAATGTGTTCTCCCATTCCATGGGATGTCTTTTTACATTTTTTATGGTCTCCTTTGTTGTTCAATTTTTTTGATGTAGTCTCATTTGTTTATTTTTTCTTTTGTTTCCCTTGTCCAAGGAGATATATTAGAAAAAAAATATAGCTACCAGTGATGTCTGAGATTTTACTGCCTATGATTTCTTCTAGAATTTCAGTTCTAACATTTAAGTTTTTAATCCATTTTGCTTTTATTATTCTGTTTGATATAATGAAGTGGTCCAGTTTCATATTTGTATATGTTCAATTTCCCCAACACCATTTATTGAATAAATTATCTTTAGCCCATTGTATGTGCTTGCTTTCTCTGTTTAATATTAATTGATACAAATATGGGTTTCTATCTGGGCTCTCTATTCTGTTCCATTGATCTATGTGCCTGTTTTTATGCCAGTACCATGCTGTTTTGATTGCTATGGCCTTATAGTATAGGTTGATAATAGGTACTGTGATTCCTCCAACTTCATTCTTCTTTCCTAAGATTGTTGTTGCTATTGTGTGACATTTTGTAGTTCCATGTAAAATTTTCAAATATTTTTCTAATTCTGTAAAATATGTCATTGGTATTTTGATAGGAATTGTGTTGAAGCTCTATATTACATTGGGTAGCATGGACAGTTTTAAGTTGTTAATTCTTCATATCATGAACATGGTATATGCTTCCACTCATTTGTATTTTCTTTAGTTTCTTTCTTTGATGTCTGTCTTATAATTTTCCTAATACAAGTCTTTAACGTTTTTGGTTAGATTTATTTATAGCTGTTTTATTGTTTTTGAAATGATTGTAAATGGGACTGTTTTCTTAATGTCCCTTTTTGATAGTTCATTATTGGCATATAAAAATACTACTGATTTCTGGACATTAATTTTGTATCCTCCTACTTTGCTGAATTCATTGATCAGTTCTAGTAGTTTCTTGGTGGAATCTTTGGGGTTCTTCATGTATAGTATCATGTCATCTGCAGATAAAGAAACTTTTACTTCTTTTTTTAATATGGATGCCTTTTATTTCTTTTTCTTGGCTGAGTGCTATGGCCAGGACTTCTAGTACTATGTTGAATAAGAGATATGAATCAGATATCCCTGTCTTATTCCTGATCTTAAGGGGAACAGTTGCAGTTTTTGCCTATTAAGTATGATGTTGGCAGCAGGTTTGTCACATGTAGTCTTTGTTAT